AGTATGAGTCAATAAAAAATAAATGTTGTTTTTGGCATTTTGCTAATTTGTTAATAGAAATCAAATTGAACCTAAAACTTGGTACACATAAAATAGTTTCTAAAAACAAATTTCCTATTTTTAATAATGCTTATAGTATTGGATGAAGGTTGATTATGCATCAAATAAAAATAAAACGTAGGAACAATAAATTTAAAAATTAAATTTCACTTCATCCTTTTAGGATCTTTTTCACATCAAATTGAGTATAAAATTAAATTAAAAATAAAATATATATGACCATATCAAGTTTACCTAAATAAGAAAGGTTGATGAATCCTTGTTAAACCACCAAATTAGCCTTCAAAAAGCTCAACCACCTCAGCACGGTTGTTCCAAACTAAAGCTGTTTAAGAAATCATTGTGCAGCCTCTAATGATGATCCACACTAATTAATTAGAAGATCTTTCTTTAAAGATTAGAAGTGCTATGCCGTGGCAATGTACTAGCAAAGATAAGTTTCATAAACTCATAATCCACACAAAATTGTAGGGCTGAATACACAAAAGAAATCAAGTGAATGAAAAACTATTTTTCTTCACACAAAGAACGGCAAGACAAAAGGAATTTCTAATGTGCTGTTCTTTTTTTTTCTACCATTTTCTCTCATTTTGTTTGGAGGCTATAGCAAGGTATTTATACCTTAGATTAATTTTAAACCCTAATTACAAAACTATTTTGTAATAGCCAATTAATCTAATAATTTGAATAAATAATTTAATTAAGTCCTTAAGAAGCCTAATTACTTGTTTAATTTAATTAATTAGGCCTAATAACTTAATTAAACAATTTAATTAAGCCCAACAATTTAATTAAACAATTTTAATCAATTAGGCCAATGATTTAATTAAACAAATTTAATCAATTAGGCCTAATAACTTAATTTTTTAATTTAATTAATTAGGCCCAATGACTTAATAAATAATTTAATTAATTAAGCTCAATGATTTAATTAGACAATTTAATTAATTAGGAACAACTTAATTAAGATATTTTAATCAAGTGCTTGATAAGCTTATAACTTCTAATTTGATTAAGTCCAACTTAATCACCTCTCCTATTTTATTTTCAACATTTAGTTTAGGTGTTTGACTCATTAAGTTTCTAACAAGTTGGTAATGAACTCAATATATAATTCTTAAGTTAAACTTAGAATTAGATAAATTTAAACTACTTTAAATTTATCATTAATCAAGTTAACTACCTAAAGTTTATAGACCAAGATTGGGATCTAGCAATCCATCATAGCCACCCAAATGTTAGAAGAGTCAAGATGATTTGACTCAACCTTTCAGTGATCAGCCTTTCAGTGTAATTCATTCCCTCATCATATATCCTGGAAATGATAAGAACCTGATAGTGTCTACTCTTATTGATATCTATATTCATTCTTAAAGTTTGATCATTAGCTTTACAAAGACTTATGAAATCCTTTTACAATCTTCAAGTCGCCTTGGTCAAGGATTTGAATAAGCTAATATCAACCAAGAACAATTAGGATTCCTATCTTGACTACTTATTTGCATTCACATGCTTCATGCTATACCCAAAAGCATCCTATTTTGGCATCTTAATTTGGCATCCTTGGTTAGGCACCTGTAGGGATAAAATCAAAGTAGAGCACTCCATACATAAGACAACCTGGTATCTCAAGTCTAGGAAATTTTTACACAACTAACATATGAGAAGTATTATATAGACATTTGAGTGAAATACTAAATACACTTCTCATGGCGGGTCATGTTCAGTGAGCTTGCTCTCATAAGCAAGCACTTACATTTTAATTCCAATTATAACTATACTTCAATCTATGAGATCGGTTACTTACTTTTCAACTAAAGAACATAGAATGTACTAGTCTCTAGGTATCATTGATGTCCAATCTCAATGATGCATTGACCAAAAACATTTTGAGATTACGCTTTGATACATAAGGATTTTATAACTGCAACCCATTACAATTCCCTTACAAGGCATATTAATCTTATGGACTTCATCCAATTATACTTATAACTTATTATAATTGATATCTTATTAATGAAAGAAAACCTTTAATCATTCAACATGAATGATGTTATTGCATGATTTGAATCAAGCCTTAACCAATCTCAATTGGTTGCAGGGCTCATTCCAACATATATGAGATATCGAAACACTAGTTTTATTTGGTAATTAGATAAATTTATTATGAACTTTCCTATAAACAGTGAAATATTTTAGATTACAGGCTCTATGATCAATAGCACTAGTATCAAGTATCCAAATATCATTATTTTGAAAAGAATATACTAGAATAGTAACATTATTCACAAAAAGATATACTGGAACAACAACATTCAAAGAATAATGAGAATGGTTAGAAAACTTGCTTGCCAAAGTTGAATTCACCAAAGTAGTCTTACTCTGCTGGCTTGATGTTGTGAGAGTGTCATGATTAGTGGTTGATGGTTGCTCATTGATAAGAGGTGTGAGTTTATGAATTTGATCCTTAAAGAGACTAATCTAAGAGATTCGACTATTGATAGCTTGATCTTTAACTTCATCATTTTGAACCAAAGAAATCACATTATTAGCAAAATGATATTGGCCTTTTCTAGCACTAGTAGTAGATTTGTTCCTAGCAAACTTATAGTTTGTAGGAAAACCAATCAAACGATAACACTTTTCTTGTAAGTGCCCTTTCTTTCCTCAATGTGAACATACAAAGTTAGACTTCTTTTTAGATTTTCCATCAATAACAACAGACATAGCAGTAGTCTTAGTCAATGGCTGAGCCATGATATGAAAATTCCTTTGATTCTCTTTGAGAACAATGTTATATGCCTCATCCAAAGATGGAAAAGACTTCATCATGATGATTTGTGATCTTTAAGTAAAAGAAACTATCATTCAATCTTTTTTTAAAAAATAAAACATATTATCTTTGGAATTTTTATCAATAAAAGTCTGAAAACCTCCATAAATGCATTTAGGCAAAAGACGAAAATTATGAAGCTCTTCCCAAATAGAGCTCAGTTAAGTAAAGTATAGATCAATTGATCTTTTTCCTTGAGCAATACCATTGAGAGTGTGCTATAGATTGCAAATCCAAATGTCATCTGGTAACAAAGACCTTCATTTTAGGGTTTCCTAGATTTGAGCCGTATACTCATATAAAAGACAATGGAAGTGATTGACAGAGTTAAAGAATTAAGGATACAAGCAACAATTAGACTATTGCATCGCATCCATGCCATATACAATTTATTAGTAACTTAAGGTTGAGGAATCGTACCATCAACAAACCCTAGCTTATTGCAAATGGAAAAGGTGAGATAAAAAGACCTGCTCCATTCTGAATAATTGTTCAGTGTGAGCTTTGGTATGATAGAAATTGAGCAGTGTTGATCTTAATGATGCACAAAATAAGCAGAATGTCAATTATCCAATGGTGAAATCATAGATTTTAGATCCACTGAGTCGGCCATTGTGAGAAGCACCCAAAAGCAAATCTTTACAAAAATAAATCTCCAAACAAAATAATGAATAGAAAAAAAAAATTCTACATATCTGTAAAGAAGATGAATTTGGAAAAAGAAACCTTAACATGATATATTCTACAATGAACAAGACAACAACAAGAAACACCCATGAAGAACCAAGAAAAATGAGAAATCAACCAATTGAAAGACTAAGATCTACAAAAGAAATAAAAAATCAGATCGAGAACCCTAGATAAGTCTCTGATACCATGTAAAAATCTGAAAATTTCTCAAGAATATGGAGGAACACATTTGGGGAATATTTCATTGTATTCTATATCTTGTTAAAATAAGAAGAGCCAGCTATTTATAGTACTGGTAAGTTTGTAATACAGAAAACATATGAAGGCTAAAAATGTAAAAGAATTAAACTAACTATTTACAATAGTAACATTAATAGGTAAAGTAATTAAGGTAAAAACGATCATGTTTAATTTATAAAAATAAATTTATATTCAATTCATGACGATCATAACCTTGGTAGTCCAAAATAATAAAACTATCAGTAGTTGTATCAATGAATCAAATGGCCCCAATGATGGAATCTGTGAAGGACAACTTGTACTATCTCTCTAGATTTGGTAACAACCAAAAATCTTTTATTGCTTCATGAAGGGTAAAATGGGTATCATGTGATACATGAATTCATCAGAAAAAGAAATCATGATTTATTGGTAAGAATTATGAAACTTGTCAAGTAAATTATTTTAGGACAAATTATCTATTTTTAAATCTAATAAATTTAATTAAACTGAATTAGAACAACACTTTTAAGGACTTCGGTGCATTATAGCAATGTAGAAAGAGAAAGGGAACAAATGCTAAACGGAAAGAGATTGAGTTTCTTGGCCTTTTACGTACCTTTACGGGAAAAGATATGTGGAAAAGCTCCATTTAATGGACAACATATGATGTTAGAACCCGAACCGAATACTAACATTGTTGTAATGTCCATGTTATTTAGAATATACAATCCGTGTTTTGAAATCTGTCACATTGTGAACAAGACAACATCATGATCAGTTGGTACAACCTTTGAAGTCACTGTTCATCTTTGACGAGATGATCTTTTATTCTTTAGTCATTTACCCTTAACATCTTTACTCAAAAGGCTGCAGGGAAAACTAGAATCTTCTCTCTTGAATCATTGCGTTAAAAAATGGGCTATTTAATTGAATCATTGTCTAATTTATTAAAACCATTTCCATTATATTGTTGGATGATCAAGTCTTTGTTTTCTAATCAAGAAAAACAAGTGAGGGTCCACAGTACAGATGAAATCAGCACAATATCCTTCTGATCGGCTTGTAATGATGTACAGAAAAAATATGTCCATCATTCAACAGGAACATGACAAAACCAAACTTATTATATATAGACCTTCTAGCTTGTAAGTTGTGATCAAAAGTATTGCTCTTCTTATTTTTTCTTTAAACTTCCTACTCATTCTTTTTTAATCATAGCATGGATGGGAAGAAACTGGAGTATAGGGGTGAGGATGCCTTGAAGGAGATTGAAAAGTTAACGGCAAAGGCTGCTGAAGTTCAGGATGGCATCTTGAAAGAAATCATAAAGCAAAACGTTGAAACCGAGTATTTGAATAAGTATATGAAAGGATCTAAAGATGTTTCTGAGTTTAAACGTTGTGTCCCGGTTATTACCTACAAGTATATCTATCCCTATATCCAGAGAATTGCTAATGGTGAAGGCTCTTCCCTCATTACTGGTCAGCCCATAATTGAAATACTGTGCAGGTTTCCTCTTTCTTACTGTCTCCATTCTTTGCACCATTATTGTTTGTTCTTAAATTTTAACTTTTGAACATGTTTTCTGTCCTACGTCGAAAGTTAATTGAAGCATGTTCCTCAATTTGCAGCTCAGGGACTTCTGCTGGAGAGCCTAAATTAATGCCATCAATAGCAGAAGATCTTGACCGTCGAACCTTTCTTTATAATCTCATCATGCCAATTATGAACCAGTTAGCTTACATCTTTTTCCTTTATTAACTTTTTTATATTTTTTTCCATTAATTCCAGCAATGTGTCTGTGGCTCTGTGTGCATGCTTTTGTGCATTATGTGTTTGTTGACGTGTGTGGATTGGATTGTGGAGCAATTTATTATCCTCTTGGAAGGATGTCCTGAGCAATATTCTTTCTTGAAGTGACCTCTGTCACTTTATTGTATGGAAGATGTTATCCCGTATTTTTTGTTTAGAAGGTCATTAAATCTTGAATATCCAGCATAAGATTTGGATTCTCCATTCTAAGCAAGGTCTAAGGATGAGATATGATGAGATGCAGATAAAGTCGTTTTATGTAGTGCTTGAAGGGTACACTTTACCATCCATTAAAGAGATTGTGAGAAGAATTTGCTGCGAACTCGGAACTTTTAGATAATAACCACTACTTAAGTTGAACATGAAGCCATCAAAATTGTTCAGGTTAAAGCAAAATACTACTGATGACTCATGTGGGAACTGTTGCATGAGAAAGCCTCTTAAAAGTGAAAGCACCTAGTTCTACCCACAATATCCGACTCATTGTGAGTCAGAAAATATAAGTATATTTTGTTTTAGTCCCTCATCTCACCGTTTCGACTCAATCTCTTGCTTTTGACAGAAAAAGAAAAGTGTGATAAGGATTTTGTACTTGCATGTGAAATCGGTTAGCTGTGTTGTTTTTTGTTTTGGAGAGGAAAGAAGAGAGAGCGAGGGAGCGTAAAGAATTTTATCCTTCCACAAGTTTCTTACTCTTTAGAATTTAGATCGTGTTATCAGTGCAAGTTGGCGTGTAGTGCATGAAAAGAACTTGCACCCATCTGCATTGAGACTTTTGTGTAGTGAGACTGCACCTTTTGCATTCAGGTAATGAAAGCACTTTTATATTGTCTCGTATATAATGATCATAAGAAAGATTCAGAACTGAATAAAGAATTTCCCAGTAAGTGCACACTAAGGTCAATTTATCCAATAATATGCAGATGTTTTGGTTAAAATGATGCCTGTCTTGACATTTTAACTTTCAGGTACATTTGCGGTCTTGATGAGGGCAGGGCCATGTATCTCTACTTTGTCAAGGCTGAAATGTCTACACCCTGTGGCCTGCCATTTCGAACCGTGCTCACTAGCTACTACAAGAGCAAGCACTTCAAGTGCCGAGCACGAGACCCATTTAACGATTTTACAAGCCCTGATCAAGCCGTCTTGTGCAATGATAGCAGCCAAAGCATGTACTGCCAGTTGCTAGCTGGTCTAGTCCATCGTCACCAGGTCATGAGGCTAGGGGCAGTATTTGCATCTGCTCTTCTTCGGGCCATCTCTTTTCTTGAGCGTAAATGGGTTCAACTATGCAATGACATCCGCACTGGCCAGCTTGACCTTACGATCGTAGACCCTGCATGCCGGTCATCAATGACAACAATACTAACATCACCTAACCCCCATCTAGCTGATGAGATTGAGGGCATTTGTAGCTGTCCATCTTGGAAGGGAATCCTATGTCGCCTTTGGCCTAGGGCCAAGTACATTGAGGCTGTAGTCACCGGCTCCATGGCACAGTATATACCAGCTCTTGAGTTTTACAGTGCAGGGAAGTTGCCATTGGTCTGTACTATGTATGCTTCCTCTGAATGTTACTTTGGAATCAACTTGAAACCCTTGTGTGACCCTGCAGAAGTAGCATTTACCCTCTTGCCTAACATGGGCTACTTTGAATTTTTACCTTTGGGAGAAAATGGAACACTTTCCCTAGACGTAGATGAAGAGGAGGAGGTGCCAAATGACAGGCTTGTGGATTTGGTGAATGTTAAAGTCGGCTTGTATTACGAATTGGTGGTAACTACTTTTTCTGGTAAGAATAAGAGATTCTTTAAAACCATTTGTTTCTTGTTAAGGCGATTAATTCGCCCAAAAAAATCTCAATCATTCTATGTGCTTCGGTTTTCAAATTCAAGTTAATTCCAATAAGAAAACTCATGTTTCCTTTAGTTTGCTTGATAACAGACTTACTTTTGTTAGTCGCAATTTAACAAGTCTTTTCTAGAACAGAAATATATATCCGTGCATGTTGCTATTGTAGTTGTCACCATCTGAACTACTTGAAGCTTATTCACGATTCAGGTCTGTGTCGATATCGTATTGGAGATGTGCTCCAGGTGACTGGATTTCACAATCAAGCCCCACAATTCCGATTCATCTGCAGGAGAAATGTTGTGCTTAGTGTGGACAATGACAAAACCAACGAGGTAGATCTTCACAGAAGCGTCACCATAGCAAAAAGATTGTTAGAACCCTACAACGCTCTGCTTGTAGAATACACCAGCTATGCTGATACGTCCTCTGTCCCTGGACATTATGTACTCTTCTGGGAAATCCAAATGGTAGACTCATCCACCTCTATCGATGCTAAAGTGCTAGAAGATTGTTGCATCACTGTGGAAGAAGAGCTGGATTATGTATATAGGCAATGCCGTAGCAGGGAAAAGACTGTGGGACCACTCGAGATACGAGTGGTTGCGCCTGGAACATTTGAGGCATTGATGGATTTCTTCATCAGCCAAGGGGGTTCAATCAATCAGTATAAAACACCAAGGTGCATCAAGTCTCATACTGCTCTTAAGTTGCTTAATTCTCATGTCCTGGCATCATTATGCAGTCCTCGAGATCCGAAGTGGATCCCCTTGAATGGGTAATACTTCGATATGTTTGGTTCCGTTTATCTTTTCAATCTAGCTAGCTAAATTGTCTTTGTAGTTTCTAATTGGAGTTGCATTAAAAGCAATAGGATGATCCAGTTCGTTAATTAGATACTAGTGCTTTGCCTCATCGGTCAACCTGTAATCTTCGTCTTATTTGCAATTGAATATTTCTACCTTAAATTTTTATCACATGGATGAAAAAAGATCAACAGATTTATAACTTTTTAACTTTTTCATATCATTCTTGGATTAAGGTAATTAGTGAGATGCATTAGATAATGATGGTAGGAGCAGAACTCTTTTCACATTGTTAATTTTTATTGCACCATATCTGACAAGTCATTTTAAGTTTGAATTTTGGATTAAATATTTTTACTTCCTTAAGTTTTGCTCATAATTTCACGTAGATCTATTAATATTCAAAATAAACAGTCCGTTTCAAAATAATATCTTTTATTGGACACATAAATCTTGTCGTTACTTAATTGTTAGAGTTTTCATTACTTTAATGATGTGGCAGCATTTTTAAGATAATTTTGCTGTTCATCTTTAAATCAACCAGAAGTTAAAACTCTCTTAAAATCTAGATTTCATTATTGAAATACTCTAGATTTGTCATTGATTTTTGGCATTCCAATTCTGAATCGACTTGTGAACAGAAAAAATAAACCTATGTTTAATTTTTGGTTGGTGATTCAAAGTGAGGTTGAAAAGTGAGAAGAGAAAATGAAAGTTTAGTTGTTGAGTTGATTTTTCGTATTTGTTTATGGGTTTAGAAACATAAATCCATGGTTGATCTAAGTTTTGAGTTTTAAAGCTTGTTGTGAGAACTTGGCATTGTTGAGTCATGAGATTTAAAGGTGTTGGATACCCAAAGAGCTATTGACACATTATTGTGTTTATCTTTTTTATGTGATGGGCATTTTAAACATTTCACATTTGTTGTTAACGTGGTTTACACATTTAAGACAAACAGTTTATTTCTAATACTAATGAATCCACATATAATTATGAGTAAAATTTAAAGGGTAATTCACTCTATTTACAAGCATAATGTAAAAGAATTGCTGAGAAAAAAATTGTAAAAGAATTTGACACCTACAGGCATCAACTATTGATTGCATACGGGGTTTGCTCCATCATGCAGTGCAAAGACATGAGCTTTATTGTGATTTAGTAACATACTCGTGTTACGCTGCAGCATTTATATTTAATTTGTTGAATGAAATATAAAAGTAAAAGAATTGGGTAGTTAAAGTTGGAATAAATAGCCTTTTTTCAAAAAAAAATTGGAATAAATACATATCTTTGGAGCAAAATTTTAATTTAATATGTAGATTTAGATAATATAAACTAAATTGAGTAAGTTCAATGTTGTGGTTGCGTAATATTAAATTCGTTATTTTTGTTCTTTTTAATAGATTGAATAGTAGTACTTAGAAGCAAAAGTAACCCTAGTAAAATATAAGGGAAATAAAAAATGATTCTTGCATTGTTATTCTTTACGGTAAAAAAATGATAAAGAAAGTAAATGGTGGATTTAAAGTAGAAATAACAACTATTGAAAGTTTCTAACAGTGTACAAGAAATGACAAATTGTATCTTGGTTCAAAAAAACCCCCAGTCTGATGCGTGAGAAGACAAAGGGTTTTGGGCAGTATCACAAACTGAAAAATTTACAATTAAATCAGCATATAGCTATATTGCGAGCTTCAACCGCTTAATGAAAAATCGCATTTGGAGATTGATTTGGAAGTGGCTTGGTGCTCATTGCATATATGCCTTTTTATGGTTGGCATATAAAGACGGTTTTTTAACCAACTTGGAACAGTCACGTCATCATTTTTCAACAATTTCTTTTGCTTGCGATGCATATAGAAGCTGAGTTAGTTATGCATGTTATTCGCGATTGCCCTCTTACTAAAATTGTTTCCAATTCTTTTATTCATACTAATCTTTGTGGCCTTTTGTACAATTAGAATATGCTTAATTGGTTTTATTAGAATCTCAGAGGAGGTTTTCTCGTCTTGCAATACCCCCTAGGGTGTCTTGTTTGGTATCATTTTGTGGTCACTTTGGAAGTGGAGGAATGAAGCAATATTTAACCACCAAAATGTAATTATCATCCTAATTAAAAAGTATCTTGAAGATACTATTCGTTCTTGGTTGTGTTTTATTCCCATACATACTGGTGTTAATAAATCTTACGTGGAGTTGTTGATCGGACAATCTCCGCCACCTTAAGGTTGGGTGCTACTCGACATTAATGGAGCTCATCGAACTTCATGCCATCAATCTACTACGAAGGTATCATTCTTGACCACTATGAGAATTGGAAATACAATTTCTTAGTCAAATTCAAAAACTGTTTTGCATATCAAGTAATATTATGAGGAGTTTAATGGGGTTTGTCGATGACATGGAACGAGAGATGTCGTAAGGTGATTTTACCTGTGGACAACAAAATTGCTACACAAGTGATTTAAATGGAAACATATGAACTAAATGCTAATTCAGATTTAACTTTAACTATTAAAGATTTTTTAAAGAAAGAATGATAAGTCAAGATTATTCATGTGAATCGCGAATCTAATCATTTGGTGGATTTTCTTGTGAATATAGCTTTTCAATGTCTTATTGGTATGATGTTTCTCAAGTATCCTTTTAAGAATTGTTGGAATCTATACTTGAAGAGATAAAGAAGAACACACAAAAAATTAATAGAGACTTAACAGTTAACAACAAAAAGAAATGAGAAAGAGTTTGAATGTGAAAACCAGTTTGAGGAACACTATAGAAGGTACTGACTTTAGAGTAGATTTCCATCGTTGCTTTAATGCAAATAGTAATTGATGACATCCTACTACCAACATATAGCAAACCACTCAAAGATCTTCTAATGTGCACTCAAATAGAAAATTTGGCAAACTCGTAAATCTCTCAACTGCTCTTGGAGGAATTTTAGAATGAAGAAGAATAGAGTTTTTGGAAACATGGAATGCTAAGAATGAATTTTTCAGAAAGAAGAGATGGATATTTATAGATAGTGAAACATCACCAACGTGCCTATTCATTTAAACACACTTATTTAGAAATGAACAAATATGCCATTCTAAAGGTATTAGCCTTTCTACAGTCAAAGGCCATATCTCTCCCAATAGACACATTAAATTTTGAATCACCAAAAATAAAATAAAAATTAAAAAGCCAACAATCCCCTACATGATTCAAAATTTACGGAATACAAAAACAGTCTTTTACAATGTATTCGATGAAGGTGTCTTGGGGACTTAAACCTCGTTTAGTATGAGAAAATCCATTTAAAAGAATCATAGTGAACTTACTTCTTAAACAAAGATCTTGTAGCTTGAGCTTTAATTCATCATACACATTGTAGGAGATTTTTATTGAGTTCTAAATGAGGTCACGCTTTAATAGCCTTGCGTTCGTATTTTGCTTCTTGAGTGCTCTAGAGAAAAGCCTAATTTCATAGGTTGCACCCTCACAACCACACTCCAATAGGCGAGTTTTACAATGACATGTGTAAAGGAAACATATCTTGCATAATTTGCTACGAATTCATTCAGACCTTGTACTTTTCCTGGCCGTTATATTAAGTACCATAATATCATAGTGGGACTATAAAACTCTTAAAAATGGGTACTTCTTTAATCACTAAACAACTTGTTTTTACGGCATTGAATTTTCGTCTTAGGATCTCTTATAAAAAAAGTTAGGTTACCATAGCTAGTAATTTCTAATTAATGGACTCGTGTCCCATCCCTCTTGAAAATTCAATGACTTACTTTCTAGTTAATCCTTTCATTAATGGATCCATAATATTTTTGAAAAAGAGATGTAATCCAATGTGATTACTCTATGTTTAATTAAACTCATAATTGTTTGATGCCTTAAATGCATATGTCTCTTTTGTTCATTTTAGTTCTATTGTTGACATTTCATAATAGCCACTTGATTATTACAACAAAGGCAAATGGTAGGAATTTTGTTTTTCTATAATTAGAATATCTTTTAATAAATGTTTAGGCCATTTCGTTTGTTGTGTTATCTATCTAGGGTTGTCATCTTGGATTCCATGGAGGACTAAGAAATACATGTTTGTTTGAAGGGTTTTCATGCAACAGCAGCTCCACCTAATGTGAAAACATATCTTATCGTAGCTTTAGTTTTGTCTAAATCAAAGGTCCAGTTTGCAATGTTGTATCTTTTGAGCACAATGGGATAACTTGAATAATGTATATCCAATGATTTTTTTAACATTAACTGATTTTTTTACCTTTAACATTAACTGACATATAACTCTGAGAAAGTTGAAACATTTTGCAAACATGGGTCACGCAAAATATCTAGTTCAATGTCATCAATATTGAACAATTAAATTTATCTCTATGATCAAAAAATGAGTTAAGGAAAAAAGGGAAAAAAGAAAAGAAAAATAATTCCAAAATTCGGGCTTAAAGGAGTTAAGGAAAAAAAGGAAAACAGAAAGAAAAGAAAAATAATTTCAAAATTTGAAGGAAAAAAAGAAAAAACAAACATGGATCTCGCATAATATCAAGTTCAATGTCATCAATCACAAATAATTAAATCCATTTTTAAGGATCAAAAGATGACTTAAGGAAAAAAAAAAGAAAAAAATAAAAGAAAAATAATTCCAAAACTTAGGCCTAAATGAGCTAAAAACAGAAAAAAAAAGACAAATAATTTCAAAATTTGAGCTAAAGAAAAAAGGAAACAAAATAAACATGGATCTCGCATAATATCAAGTAAATGCCATCAATCTTGAATAATTAAATCCATCTTTAGGATAAAAAAATAGTTAAAGAAAAAAGGAGAAAAAAATAAAAAAAATAATTCTAAAACTTGGGCCTAGATGAGCTAAGGAAAAAAAGGAAAAAAAAAAGAAAAGAAAAATAATTTCAAAATTTGGACTTAGAAAGAATTGAACTTAGGCATTCAAAATTTAGATTAAGTTCCTTACCACTATTCCAAATCAACTATTTTGATTAATTTAGAGGTGGTAAAGTTATAATTTTTTTACTTTTATACAAACAAAAATAAAAATAATTAAAAATTGAAGGGTGGAAGTCGTCACCCCCCGCCACCCATCTATTTTTGCCTCTGACCATAACAAAGATCATCTTTAT